CCATGAAGTGGGGGAGGGGATAAGAAGAGAGGGAGATGGTAAAAGGGCAGACAGAAGGGATGGGTTCCAGGAGGAAATGGGCCTTTAATGCTTTATCCCCAGCATGCAGTAAATGCAAATAAATAGTGTGTGGAATTAATATTTATAAAAGACCTGCCAGGCACCAAGGTTTATGCATTTATCATAGGAAATCCTCAGTAGTCTTATGCAGTCAGTATTATTATTCTCTCTAATTTATAGATGTGGATACTGTCTCAAAATGGCTGAAGGATGATCTAGTAAAAGAGAAAAATGAATAGGAAACGTCGTGTTCATAATCATCTAGTTTCATCTCACTTAAACATCAAATGAAAAGTAAGATGGTAAGTGTGCATAAGAGGAGAGGTAGATGAGTTTTCCAGATACTCTGTTTACTGGCTGCCAGGTAGCACTTTGAGGCTTTTCAAAATTAAACATGACACTTTTTTGGCATACTTTGCATTCCAGGTTTCACAAGGCAACTGAGAGTAAAGTAAAAAATTGTTGAAAAGTGAACGAGGCAGGATGGTAATTTAAAAAATGAGAACAAAAAACAACCACAGCATCTACTACTACCAGCCATCAGAAGAAGGTGTAACACTCAATGAATCCTTTCCAACTAAATTGAGGAAAAACGGATTATCTTTTGTATCTATTTAAAATGTTTCAGCTGATTTCAAGTGGATTAAAGAAGAGATTTGCTAGTTTACATGTGCTTCAAACCCATACGCAAATAGGACTCTGATACCATACCACAAATTTATAGTCAAAGACAATACTTTGGTTTAAAGAAGATCAGCACACAATGTAACTGCAATTGAATGTCACGCACACAAAAATAAGTCAGACAATGTTAAGCTCCAGTGAAGAATTTCGGTAATTACCAGCTGCATTGTAAAAATCACTGTCAAATATTTGTCTCCATTGTTTGTGATTCTTCCAAAGCCTGAAAGCACTCTCCTCTCTGCTGCTTGCCTTCATGGCCATTTTAACCTTTTCCTCTCCCACTGATTCCTAGCACTCCTGCCCAAAGTCAGTAATCAACTTTTGTTTCAATGATACATTCAAAGAAAAAGGGAGACTACAGAAGAATAGAGGGGGTGGGGGGAGAGAGAGAGAGAGAGAGAGAGAGAGAGAGAGAGAGAGAGAGAACAGGAATGATAGAACTTGGAAGTATTCCCCTCCTCCAAATTCTTAAACAAAATTGAACCCCAGAACAGGAAAATGGTGTTTTTATTTTTTTAAATGGTTGTTTTTTCAAGATCTTAGAACCAGTAATAGGTCTTACATTAAAAAAATTTAAAAAAATTTTAAAAAAGACCCAGTAGCAGGGCAGTGATTTGTTTATTTAGTTAACAGAAAGTACTGAGTGCCTACCATGGTGAGGCACTGTGCTCAGTAGAAATTTGGGAAAGTGAAAGACATGAGTTGCTTCATAGACAAATGGGAAATTGCAGTTCATTGTATGGTGATTTTTTTATTTTAAAATCTAAACCCCGTATCTAAGTGGATCTAAGGGTTTAATTAAAATGAATTCAATTTTATTGATTATATTTACCTTGAAATATTCTTTGTTAAACTTCAAGACATTGTGCTTTCCTAAAATTATTTTCTCTCTCTCTTAGGCTTCTTTGCAAGATATTCATCCTTAGCCTGTTATTAAAGTGTTGGAATTTCCTGGAATTATGGATTATGTATTTATCTCTTTATTCTACGTACTTTCCTTGGGAGTTCCCATCACCGCTGTGGCTTTTAGTATCATCTATACTCTATGGTGATGAGGTCTCAAGACACCAACTTCTGCATGTCCAGTTCAAGCCCCTTCTGAGTTCTAGACTCATGTGAACACTCTCTCTTCACAATGGCATCTAGATGTTTCCCATGCACCCAAACACAAAATATCAAAAATTGAACTGATCAATTTGTTATCTCATTGGCTAATATAATCATTAATGAAGCTGCTCAATCAAGAAACTCAAGTCATTCTTAGTTCCGTTCTTTTTAGCTTCTCACAACTAGTCTCAAAAGCTCATGGCTTTTTATATCCTAAAATATATTAACAACATATTCAGTCCTTTTCATTTTCTCTGGTGCCACCCAACCAGAGTCACCAGCATGTCTTGTGAACATTCTCATGAGTATATGCCTAGTAGGTCTCCCTGGTTTCAATTTTGCCTGCATCCAATTATATTTGACTATCCAAATTACTAGTTAAAAATGCAAATTTCATCATATTTCCTCTTATTTCAAACTCTGAACTCCTTTTAGCAAATGTAAAATCCTAATTTCTTTATGAGGTCCTTTAGACCTCTGTTTACCTCATAAACTCCTTCTGGACTTACCTCTCCTCTATTAGACACTATATTCTATATCACTAAACTTCTCTGAAAATTTTCAAAGATCCTTGAACATGAAATTGATGGTGTCTTTCACGTCAGGCCTTCCCATGTCCTGGACACTGCTTAAACTTTTCTTATCTTCATTCCAAGCTTGCCACTGCTAACTCCTGGTTATCAGTTAATTATTGTGAAGCCTATTAGATCGCCACTCCAGTCCAGTTTACCCAATCCACCTTTAACCCCGTTTACTTCTACTCAATCGACTTATCTCCACCAAAACCAGATTTTTTTTTGTAATATGTTCCCACAATAATTTATACATCCCCTCAAATATAATTTTTCAACATTTTATTATAAATATTTATATAACAGTCTTTCCCACTAAGTCTGTCCTAGAGGACTATCCAGTATAAGCAGCATGTTTTGTGTCCCTAGCACCTGGTACACAGTGCTTTGCACAGAATTGGTGCTCAACAAATTGGTGCTCATTCAATAAGTATATAGAATACCTTTTTATTTACAGAGAAGGGCTTAGAGATAAATAAACAGGCCCTACCTTTAAAGAGGATAACATTAAATGCAAAATGTCTGTTATACATAATTATATGATGATAATGAGTAAATAAAATCGATTCCAATTTGGATACATGGGGATTTGCTAACATTGTAAATTGGAATTAAATATTTAGCTCTCCCTTCTGGGATAATCTAACCCGTACTAAACACTTCTGGAAGACAGTTTTATGATTTTATATTACAGATGAGAAATTAGGCACAGCAAAGTTAATTGAGTTACTGAAGGTTACCCAGTGAATCAGACACAGAGTCAGGATTTGAAATTCAAAGTTGTCAATCTCCAGTTCTTAGTGCAATGAAGTTTGTTTTGAAACTATTTTTTTTCTTTTTTTCTCAAAATTCTATTGTATGGCTATATGCTTTAATAGTCTTCTCAAAACTATCACCTGTGATATTTATAGTGAATACAGAAACTCAGAAATGTAGGCACTTTTTGATGGATTTTTCCTCTAGAATTTAAATGAAAGGCTTTCTGTGGGGTGTCCTTGCACTCCTGTGCACTTTGAGAGGTGTCAGTTCCGTCTTTGTCCTTCGATAGAATGTTGGTATTATGCACCAACTGCCACTGCTAAGTGCCAACATTTAACTCTTCTGCTTTTGGACATCATCTTGGATACTCTACATCTATAAATGTCCATAGCTAGTTGACTGGAGCATTCTATTGCATTTGATGGACATTTGGGTAGAGAATGCTGCCAGTCCTTAATAAATATTTGAGAAGCAACACAGGCTATTACATTTAATATGTTCCAACACTTGTATTGTGAAATAAACTCAAAAAAGTTTGTGCTGCCATGTCAAAGGGCCTGATTTGTACTCTGTATGCAATAGATATGTTTATATATGGTATTCTGAGGACCAATGACAGACACAATGCATAATTAAAATACCTCAAAAAGCTTTAGATATCTTTCAATATATATGTTTAGTGTTTTTGTAACAACAGGCATTGTTGATATTAATTTCTTAGAGTCAGGCAAGAGTATATACTTGAGATTCTTCTCCCACAGACCAGAACAATCAGGGGTCTTTTCTTTTATACTTTTGAATATAGATACTAAAAGAAGTTAATCTGAACAGAAATTGGGACAAACATGTGACAGTTTTACTAGGCATACAGAACTATACCCTCCTTCTTCATTTTCGGATCAGTCCTATAGCTTTCTCTTAGAAGATACATCATCAAATAAAAGAACCCCAATTAGATAAGGTTCTCCTTGCTCTTTGGGTTTTGCTTGATATATCTTTTATTTGCCAGAATTAGATACCTTTACCTTTGCCAGAATTAGATACCTTTACTTCTTAAGTGCAAGCCAGCTTATTTTATCACTCTCCAGTTCATCCCTGTAGTTCCAGACCCAGGAAGAACTATAACTGTCCAAAGTGTTTACTATTCTTAAGCACCAACATGACTTTAAGTGAACTGGTCTTGCTGTATGAGTATAACTGATTATGTTTCCCCTAATAAAGACAGACACTTGAGTTACACATTTGTAAGTCAGCCCAATGTAAAAGAAACAGAGATCTTCTGTCAGATGCCAACCTAACATCAATTGCTCATAGCACAGAAATGTCAATTAAAATTCTAGTGCATAATTTTCCAGTCTAAGAAATATGCATAAATTTATGGTGAATTGAGAGGCATGCAAGGTAAGCCTTAAGCTCCATATATGGGTTAATATTCTAGGTTGGTCACTGGTAGATGACATTCATGGAGCAAGAATACATTTCACTTGAAAATGAATTCATCCTCATTCAGTAGTCTTGTTTTTTTAGAAATGATTTCGGGATGATGATTTCATTTATAATGCTGTAGTTCCCATAAAACTGTAACAAGAAATAAAGGTTCCTTTCAAGAGTTGGCTTCTTGCTTTAGAAGATTGTAAATGTTCTCAACTATGCAAAAGGAAGCAAACTTCAGTTTGGACCTTAAAGTTCTGATATACATATATATATACTTTTTTATTCCATCTGCCATACTTCTCTGAATGTAACAATAATAAAGATGAACAAAATAAAAATGTTTTCATCCCAAGGATGCCTGCTCTAGTGGAGAATTTCCTTTACCTGCAGAGATTCCATTTCTTCATCTTTTCTGTGGGTCTCCTCCAGCAGATCTACAATAAGAGAGTAAAATACAATGTAAAAATGGGCTGCCTCTTATCAAACCCAATTCAGTCAGCAGTTTGTTTAAACTGTTGCCTGGAAAGAGAACGATGGATGATGTAAGAATTACCCTGTGATGCCAGATGATGAGATGACAAAAGTCTGGACTCTGCCAAACCTAAGCTAGATAAAAGGCCTGGGAGGTCCCCACTTGCTGGAGATAGCACAGAATGAGAACAATGCAATTACAAATCCCAAATCATACCAATATTTCATGAATTTCATTCAGGGCTTATATAACTCAAAAGGAACACAAATTTAATTTTCTTTTGAAAGAAAAATTAGAAACAAACCATTTGCTCTTAAATGAAGCTCCCAAGCCAAGTTCCACCTCCAGAGTCAATTTTTATAGCTGAATTAGAACGCCCTGGAATAATGGGTGTTATTAATGGAAGTAGAACACCACCTTAACTGTAAAGTCATATTAATTATCATTTCATACTGAGAAGGTGGGAAGCACTGAAGCTACATCTGACCAAGACTTTGGCACCATCTCAGAGAAATCAGTGGCTAGAAGGAAAGGTAGTCAACTGAAGTGAGTTTTGTTTAAATGCATGTGAATAGCCATGGTGTCTCGGTGCCCTAGATTAATTTATGAACTTGCTATTAAGGAAAATATATTTGGCAAGCAGAGTTTTCTGCCTGCAGCTATACCACCCTGTGCTATGATCTTATTAGATCTCACAAACCTAAAGAGGGCTGGGCTGAGTCAGAACTTGGATGAAAACTGTCAAGAAACACCTACAGCAGCGCACATTAATATTAGTATTTGCCTTACTCTGTGATTGATATAGCTTACCAAGAGGCTGTGCTGCATAAAAGGAAAATATAACTTACATAAATTCAATATATATACCAGAAAAGTAAATACAAATGTTTTCAGCAAGTGCAACACTAGATACAGCAGGAAGCAGCAATATAGCAGAAGCCAAGTTGCATTGGTATATGTCATAAATGGGCAGGCAACACACTGAAACTTCAGGAGACCTGATAGATGATTGATAGTGATGACCCTTAGAGACTGTGTAGCTAATAGAGCTACACAGAAGTTGCAAGCAATCCTTTCAAGAAACAATGTACTGGGATTAAGGAAAAGAGGTTATTTTTGCGGTGTATCCCACTGAAGAGCTGACTTAGGGTTCCCAAACCTCCCATAATGAGAGTTACATCAACAAACTTAGAGGACACATCAATGTATTAGGATGTATTTTTAAAGCATTTTTGGTTGGCATGGCAGGTTATTTAGCTATGTCCTACAGAAACCAATTTGGAGTATGATAGATTATTTAAGCGCCTTCAGTCATTTCTCTTTTTGCATCCTTACTCATTTGCAGTCTGACATTGCAGCATTACCATCATGTGATCACATGCATTTACTTTCCACATCATGCATCTAGGCTGGTCTCCTGACTTGACTTGGCAAATAGAACATGGCAGAAACAACTCTGTACCAATCTGTGTTGTGAGTTTAAGAGGTCTCACACATTTTCACTTTTCCACTTGGAACTCTGACTTTAACACATGAACAAGCCTAGACAAACCTGCCAGATGACAAGAGACACATGGTCCAATGCTCTTCCCACCTCCAACACCCTGCAGCTTGCCCCAACTGGTAGCCAGAAAATGCCCAGAAACACAGCTGTCTAGTTGACCTAAAGATGACTACAGATGACTCAGATGGGCACCCAACTGAGACCAGACAAATTGCTCAACTGGGCTCAGTGCCAGCTCCAACTCCCAGAATCATGATCTTAATAAATGGAATTTGGGGATGGTTTGGTACTCAGCACTTGCTAACAGATAGCAATCAGTTCTTATCTGATCGATAAACATTTTGTTTTCATCAGAAAGGATATAAGGATAATGAATTACACATGGAAAAAAGAGGACCTCCAGTCCAGAGAGAGTAATTGGTCTAGGTGGGCAGGGCTATAAATAGCATGAACTAGTCGGCATCATGTCCTGGGTACCTCTAATCTTTGTGTTACTCCACCAAGAAGTGCTAATGAGACTAGCTTAGATCTCTTGCCTACTGCTGGGCTGGAGGAAAGAAAAGAGCACTTTCATTGATAATCCCCAAAGAAATTGGACCAAGAACAGAAAGGAATCATTTCCAAATGCAAAATCAGGGTATTGTTAACAGAAGAGGGAGGGATAGATAACAGACAGGCCAAAACAACAGCTGCCTATTTCAACTGGTTTTGGTAAATTGTGTCTTTAGCACAATTCAGTTCCATATCTGTGAGATATAAGGTCATCACTGTATCCATATATGAACACAGCCATTTTGCTCACAATTTTGGATAGAGGAAGGTTCCCAGAGCAGGGTCTTTGGAATGAATTACATTATTTCATGACACAGTGAAGCTACAGTGAAGCTATAGTGAAGTGCATCAACCACTAAAGAAAACTAACCTTATTCTTCCAGACTCAAGCTGTTATCGCAAACAGCAAATATAATAGGTAAAAGTTACAGGATAGATGATATGGAGCTCTACTATGGCCAAATTAATTTACATATTTGATCAAATACAGAAGTTCAATTTACTTTTAGAACGTCTCAGTAAAATTACTGCAATTAAAAAATTATGTTCTCAGTGTTCTCCAAATACACAAAGGTCATTCTGCTCTTCCTATAAAGCTGACATCAATTGCAATACTTGACTTTGAGTAGTTGAACAAAAACAACTAAAATGGAATGCCTACAACTGGCATTTAAAATACAGAACTGTCCTTGTGTTCACTCTCACTGATCCCTGCCCCAGTTTATATTGAGAGTATAAATGAACATGTTTTGTTTTGTTTTGTTTTCTCTATATACTATATTCTTCCCCTTTGAGAACTTCTTACTCCTATCCATGTGATTCCTATGAAATGTTCAGTCTAGTGGCCTAACTAACCTCTCTTGCTATAAAAGTAACTTGTGACCCAGGGAGGCAAGTCAGACCACCTCCCCTCCATGAACATATAAGCTAAAGCCATGCCACCAGGAATCCTTTTGCTGGGACTAATATGGATACTGGAGAGAATTTCTCTCCTGAACGATCCAGCTTACATTAACCTGTACTTCCAAGGCTGTATTTTTGACTATGTCAAAGGAACCTGCCTAACAATGCAGTTGGCAAAGACTAAAAGAGAGCAACACACAGAGAGAAAGAGAGTTGGCTGAGGACAAGATCCATCTTTGCCTAAAGTCCACCTACATCCTGGATTTCCAACACTCTCTTTTTGGCTTTTACTTAAACTAGCTTCAGTTGGATTGCTGTGGTTTTCAGCAGTTTCTAGGGATATGGATGTATTGAATCACCTTATCTCTATTTAGAAATTTGGAGAACTTAGAAAGAAGTTTCTATTCCATAGTGAAATGTTTCATTCTTTAATAAAGAGATGATGACATGAAGCTCAACAAAGGCAAAGTGTTTGCTTGAGGATACCTAGTTAGCACTAGAGACACAGAGAGAGCTTTGCTCCACCACCTTCCTGACCTATCTATCATATCATATTCTTACTGCTCAATATTGAGTTGGTCTATTCTTCAAACTGCTATTTTTTTTAAATGCATACATGCCTATATTTCTCTGACTTTCTTTTGCAGTTCTCTGATTTTAACAACCATATTTTCAGTGTCTTTATATCCATATCCTTCCTAACTGCTGCTTCTCTACTTTTGTTACTTAACTTAGAGCCTCAAAATTGCCTCTCCGCCTACACCACTGCTCTGTGCAATTACTCATTTGTTGGGTGCATTGTTTCAGTACAAGCATTTGGAATGAAGAGCAGAGTTATTAACCTGTGACATTGCTGAGAAGTGCCTACTTTAATACATATAGACTGAAGACCAGAAAATATAGGTGAGATCTCTGGGCAGTTTAAGTAACCTAATGCTGTGACAACTGAATATGATTAGCCCAACTCATTATAAAGAGCAATCTTCTTGTTGCTTGTCCTTACCAGCTTTAGAACAAATGATCAACATGGAAAAGGCTGAAAGGCTGCTCTGCTCCCTTGCTTACCACTGGCATGTTGGTGCTTTATTATTCTCTCGTTTGCTGTTCAACACAAACAGCAATTCAAATGCCATGCAAATTGCTGTGGCTAAATCTGTTTCCATCAACATTAGTTAATGAAAGATTTTTTTTTTGGTGAAAGGGCAGCAGTCCTGTGTATTTTCCCTGGACTAGCCCCAACTCTTTAAATTAGTTGATACTAAGTCATTATTAAATGTAGTCACTATAAGGGTGGAGGGAATTTCATATAAAAAAGCAGGACATCAAGGATAAGAATTGAAGAATCTAGTTGTTTTATTTATTTCCCCTTACTTTGCATTTCTCTGGCATACTCAAAGTCATAGATCATGACCATGCTTTTGGCTAAGACCATCTTGTACCACTTTCTTTGCAGTCTTTGCAACTAGTGGTCTGGCTGTTTAAGGAGGTTTGACACTTTTTTATTTTGATTTTGGTTCCTGGTAGCCAAGGAAGCAGATAGCTTGTTTGTTTATTGGCTTTTTTTTTTTTTTAGAAAAGTAAATATTTACTTAGATTGAGGAAAAAGTCACAACAAATTATATCTTTTAAGAATTAGGACAAATTCATGTTTATTTGCTTTTGCAAGGAGAATCATGTCTAGGTGTGTATGAGCAACATAACCCATCCAGCAACTTTACCTTTCACAGAAAGGTTGGACATTAAGTTCAGAAATAAACAGTTTTTTTCTTTAGCCTTCATTATAAAATAGCTCACTCATGTTGCAACTCAGCTCAGCTGGTAATGGAGAGAAAGCGACAGAAATAGGGAAATCAGACACAGGGACATTCATGACAATGCTCTGGTTAGAGCAGCATTGACAGCAGGATATGGTGAACTAATGCAGTTCAGAGTAAAAACATAAGTTTCTGGCTTCTGTATCTCATTTAGTAAGTCAGTACTCTTGCTGAGTGTTAATTTGGTAT